TACCACATCATGCTAAGTTTAAATACTGGTGGGTTGGGAGGCAGAATGTTGCTGGATGATGGGAGTTGTAGTTCACCCACATTCAGAGAGCACTATGAACCCCACCAGTGAAGGATCTGGACTACACTTGGCAAACATGCCAAGTTTACATACTGGTGGTTTTTCTTTGGGGAGGAGGGCACGGAATGCCTCTGGATGATGGGAGTTGTAGTTCACCCACATCCAGAGAGCACTGTGAACCCCACTGATGATAGATCTGGATGTAACTTAGCAAACTTATCCATCATGCCAAGGACTGGTACTGGTGGGTTGGGAGGCAGAATGTCCCTGGATGATGAGAGTTGTAGTTCACCCACATCCAGATAGCACTACGAGTCCCACTAATGATAGATCTGGACCAAACATGGTATACATACCCGCCATGACCAACTTTAAATACTGGTGCGATTTGGAGGGAATTGACCCCAGGTGTTGGGAGTTGTAGTTAATCCACATCCAGGAACATTGTGAACCCCACCAATGATGGATCCGGACCAAATGTATACATACCCACCATGACCAACTTTAAATAATGATGGGATTTAGAGGGACTTGACCTCAGATGTTGGGAGTTGTAGTTCACCCACATTCAGAGAGCACTGGGAACCCCACCGACGATGGATCTGGTAGGATTTGGGGAAAACTGATCCATAGTGATGGGAGTTATAGTTCACCCACATCCTTGAACGTTTTCTAATGGGATTAGATAGATAGATAGATAGATAGATAGATAGATAGATAGATAGATAGATAGATAGATAGATAGATAGATAGATAGATTCCTAATGAACAGTGTTACAAGACTTAACCTAGGCATCGCAGGATACCAAAGCTAGTGTAATAATAAGAATTTTAAAACCACTCTGTGACTGTTCTGGTGCCCTGGAGTCTAGGAATAAAGGCTTCAAACGACAAGAGGGGAGATTCCATCTGAACATGAGGAAGAACTTCCTGACTGTGAGAGCCGTTCAGCAGTGGAACTCTCTGCCCCGGAGTGTGGTGGAGGCTCCTTCTTTGGATGATTTTAAACAGAGGCTGGATGGCCATCTGACAGGGGTGCTTTGAATGCAATTTTCCTGCTTCTTGGCAGAGGGTTGGATTGGATGGCCCATGAGGTCTCTTCCAACTTTTTGATTCTATATTTATTTATTTATTGTGTCAGGAGCGAACCAAACCAGTTGTATTGCATTAAAAAACAGACAAACCAACAAACAAAACACAAAATTTGCAGACTTGGAATTCTATTAAGCCTTGGTCGCCTTAGTGGATGATCTGCGCCGGGAGCTCGACAGGGGGAGTGTGTCCCTGTTGGTGCTGCTGGACCTCTCAGCGGCCTTCGATACCGTCGACCACGGTATCCTTCTGGGACGCCTCGTGGATGGGTCTTGGGGGTACTGTTTTGCAGTGGCTCCGGTCATTCCTGGAGGGTCGATCTCAGAAGGTGTTGTTGGGGGACACCTGTTCAACCCCACAACCATTGTCTTGTGGGGTTCCTCAGGGCTCAATATTGTCTCCCATGTTGTTTAACATCTACATGAAGCCGCTGGGAGAGATCATCAGGAGTTTCGGGGTACGGTGTCATCTGTACGCAGATGATGTCCAACTCTGTCACTCCTTTCCACCTGCTACTAAGGAGGCTGTCCAGGTCCTGAACCGGTGCCTGCTGTGACGGTCTGGATGAGGGCGAACAAATTGAAATTGAATCCAGACAAGACAGAGGTACTCCTGGTCAGTCGCAAGGCCGAACAGGGTATAGGGTTACAGCCTGTGTTGGATGGGGCCCTCCCTGAAGACGCAGGTTCGCAGCTTGGGTGTGACCCTGGACTCATCGCTGAGCCTGGAACCCCAGGTTTCGGCGGTGACCAGGGGAGCATTTGCACAGCTAAAGCTTGTGCGCCAGCTGCGCCCGTACCTTGGGAAGTCTGACTTGGCCACGGTAGTCCACGCTCTGGTTACATCCCGTTTAGACTACTGCAACGCTCTCTACGTGGGGTTGCCTTTGAAGACAGCTCGGAAGCTCCAACTAGTCCAACGCTCGGCAGCCAGTATGTTAACAGGAGCGGAGCGCAGGGAGCATACAACCCCCCTCTTGCGCCAACTCCACTGGCTACCGATCTGCTACCGGGCTGAATTCAAAGTGCTGGCGTTGGCCTTTAAAGCCCTAAACGGTTCCGGCCCAAGCTACCTATCCGACCGCATCTCTGCCTATGAACCCACCAGGACTTTGAGATCTTCCGGGGAGACCCTGCTCTCGATCCCACCTGCTTCTCAAGCTCGGCTGGCGGGGACGAGAGATAGGGCCTTCTCGGTGGTGGCTCCTCGGCTGTGGAACGCCCTTCCTACGGACATTAGACTAGCACCATCTCTAATGGTATTCCGCAAAAAGGTGAAGACCTGGATGTTTGTGCAGGCGTTTGAGTAATTTAGTGCAATCTGGTAATGGAACATAGGAATGGAACAATGGACGACGAATCTGGACTACGCTTGGATGATGAGAAGATTGGGTACGGTTGTTTTTTGTAATAATTGTGCATTGTAATTGCTTATTGGTAATTTATGGATAATGTGTTAAGTCAATTGTTATATGTTGTATGGAACCACTGCTGTTTCTACTGTTTTTACTGTTTGTGAACCGCTGTGAGTCGCCTTCGGGCTTGAGATACAGCGGTATACAAGCAAAGTAAATAAATAAATAAATAAATAAATAAATCCTTTGACCAGTATCTGGCCAGCTGGAGTGCCTCTGGTGTTGCCACAAGAAGGTCCTCCATTGCATGTGGCAGGGCTCAGGTTGCATTGCAGCAGGTTGTCAGTGGTTTGCTCCTCTCCGCACTCGCATGTCGTGGATTCAACTTTGTGGCCCCATTTCTGAACGTTGGCTCTGCATCTCACGGTGCCAGAGCGCAGTCTGTTCAGCGCCTTCCAAGTCGCCCAGTCTTCTGTGTGCCCAGGAGGGAGTCTCTCATCTGGCTTCACCCACGGATTGAGGTGCTGGATTTGAGTCCAAAAGTGAGCCTGCCACTTTTGGACTCTCGCTTGCTGAGGTGTTCCAGCAAGTGTCTCTGTAGATCTTAGAAAACTACGTCTAGATTTAAGTCGTTGACGTGCTGGCTCATACCCAAACAAGGGATGGGCTGGAGATGTCTCTGCCTTGGTCCTTTCACTATTGGCTGCTACTTCCCGGCAGATGTCAGATGGTGCAATACCGGCTAGATAGTGTAATTTCTCCAGTGGTGTAGGGCGCAGACACCCCGTGATAATGCTGCATGTCTCATTAAGAGCCACATCCACTGTTTTAGCGTGGTGAGATGTGTTCCACACTGGGCATGCATACTCAGCAGCAGAGTAGCACAGCGCAAGGGCAGATGTCTTCACTGTGTCTGGTTGTGATCCCCGGGTTGTGCCAGTCAGCTTTTGTATGATATTGTTTCTAGCACCCACTTTTTTCTTGATGTTCAGGCAGTGCTTCTTGTAGGTCAGGGCACGGTCCAGAGTGACTCCCAGGTATTTGGGTGCGCTGCAATGCTCCAGTGGGATTCCTTCCCAGGTAATCCTCAGAGCTCGGGATGCTTGTCTGTTCTTAAGGTGAAAGGGACATGTCTGTGTTTTAGATGGATTAGGGATCAGCTGGTTTTTCCTGTAATAGGCAGTAAGAGCACCTAAAGCTTCGGAAAGCTTCTGTTCTACCATCCCAAAGCTCCCTGCTTGAGCGGTAATGGCACGATCATCAGCATAAATGAAACTCTCTGTCCCTTCTGGCAGTGGCTGGTCATTTGTGTAGATGTTGAACATGGATGGAGCGAGCACGCTCCCCTGAGGCAGGCCGTTCTTCTGTTTCCGCCATCTGCTTCTCTGGCCCTGGAACTCAACAAAAAAGCTCCTGTTTTGTAGCAGGTTTCCTATGAGGCGGGTGAGGTGGTCGTCCTTTGTGATATTATACATTTTTCTCAGGAGGCGGTGGTTCACAGTATCATAGGCTGCTGACAGGTCTATGAAGACAGCTCCTGTGATCTGCTGCCTTTCAAAGCCATCTTCTATGTGCTGAGTCAGGTTCAGCACTCGCAATGTGCAGCTTTTGCCTTTCCTGAAGCCAGCTTGCTGTGGAATCAGACATGGGTCTATTTGTTCCGTAATTCTATGCAAAATAAGTCTCTCCAGAACTTTGTAGAGGTGGCACAGCAGGGAGATTGGTCTGTAGCTTTTTGGGTCATCACGGTCTTTGCCTGGCTTCAAGATGGCGATGACTCTTGCTTTCCTCCAGATTTTGGGGATCTGACAGGATGCAGTGCAGTTGTTCATTAGGTCCAGCTGCCAGCACCTTGCTTTTGGGGAAAAGTTCTTGATTTGTTCCATCCGTAGATCATCCAGGCCAGCTGCTTTGCCATTTTTACATTTATTGAGAGCCATGTCCAGTTCAGGGTGTGGTGTGCACTGACCTTGAGTTTGGGAGTTGTAGTTCAGCTACATCCAGAGAGCGCTGAAGACTCAAACAATTGTGGATCTGGACCAAACTTGGCATGAAAACTGATTATGCCCATATGTGAACACTGGTGGAGTTTGGGGAAAATAAACCTTGACATTTGGGAATTGTAGTTGCTGGGATTTATGGTGCACCTACAATTTAAGCGCATTCTATAGAATTGGGCCAAACCTCCCACATGGAACCCCCATGACAAACAGAAAATACTGTGTTTCCTGATGGTCTTTGGCGACCCTTCTGATACCCCTTCACGACCCCTCCAGGGGTCCTGACCCCCAGGTTGAGAAACGGTGCTGTAGTTGAAAGTATGTTTTATGTTTCCTTTGGAGAAGATTAAAGGGAAAGAAGCAGTACAGTTTCAGTGACTGGACCCAGAAATCGACTGAAGCATGTTTGAGGGCACACTGCTTTGAATTTTGATTGTCTAACCTTATCTCTCCATTCACCCAGAGAAGAAGAGCGCCTAAATCAATAAAATGAATTTGATTTTCCACCTGCGGTCTTTATTATGTCAACAACCAGCTTTCTCCACTTCATTAAGGGTCAGTTTATGGCCAGAGGTCAATCGGTGAAAGGTGAATAGGTCAAAGTGTGACCAGAGGTCAAAAATGGATGGACAGGAGGCAGAACCCAACTGATAGGGGATTTCAGAGAGATCTCACATTTAGTCCCATCTCAAATTAGATCCCGTCCTCCCCACTGTGTTGCATTTCCACACAAAATAATACGACATGGCCCTTTCAAAACCCTCCTGGAATTGACTTGAGAAACATATCACTTTCTAGGGCAATCCTACAGCTTGTGGGTCAATGTTTTTTAGGCTGGTTCGGGCCAATGTATTTCAACGGAGCGTAACTGGGCTTGCCGATCACCTCCATGCCCATCAGCGGCTGTAGGGCCTTTGGCACTCGAACGCTTCCATCCTGGGATGGGGAGGAGAGAAAAACAGAGCAGGGTCAGGATATTATGAAGGCTCGGTATCTATTTATCTGTGTCTATAATAAAAATCAAAATATCTATCTATTTATGTTTGTATGCATTTTTAAAGATGGTTCCCAGATACAGAGAGCCCTGTGAACTGACAATGGATCAGGTGGCACACAAACCCATTATGACCAACTTTAACGAATGGTGGAGTTTGGGGAACACTGACAGAGGATAATGGGAATTGTAGTTCACCCATATCAAGAGAGCCCTGTAAACTCCACTGACAATGGATCAGGACCTCACTCAGCAAACAAACCCATCATGGCCAACTTTAATAAATGGCAGGGTTTCAAGGACACTGACAGAGGATGATGGGAGTTGTAGTTCACACACATCAAGAGAGCTCTGTGAGCTCCACTGACAATGTATCAGACCACACTCAGCCCACAAACCCATCATGGCCAACTTTAATGAATGGAAGGGTTTTAGGGACACTGACAGAGGATGATGGGAATTGTAGTTCACCCACATCAAGAGAGCCTTGTGACCTCCACTGACAATGGATCAAGACCACACTCAGCACACAAACCCATCATGGCTAACTTCAATAAATGGCAGGGTTTCGGGGACACTGACAGGGGATGATGGGAGTTGTAGTTCACCCACATCAAGAGAGCCCTGTGACCTCCACTGACAATGGATCAGGACCACACTCAGCACACAAACCCATCATGGCCAGCTTTAATGAATGGCAGGGTTTCAGGGACACTGGCAGAGGATGATGGGAGTTGTAGTTCACCCACGTTGAGAGAATATTGAGAACCTTACCAATGATGGATCGGGACCAGACTTGGCACACAGACCCATCCTGACCAGCTTTAAATACCGACAAGAATTCAGGGGGTATTGACTCAGGATAGTAGGAGTTGTAGTCCACCCACGGCCAAAGGCTCATGTGTATCTTACATCCAGACAACCATATTGCATTTTGTAATGGGATCATTAATTAAGGCCCAAACCAAACAATGACTGTTTGAAATAAATAGCACTACAAGATATCTAACTCTGGCATCGCTGGGTACCTAAGCTCGTGCAATAAAACACACAATTAATAAAATATCTCGTGTCTGAATTCCACAATATCATGTTAGCCAAAATGAAATGCTGACACAAACCTGGCATTGGTTGGACTCTATGATGGCAATGAGCATCCTGGGAATGGCACAGGCTGTGCCATTGACCTGCCGAGGAAGAAAAGGTAGTGGGAGAGGTCAGAGATCGCCAAGACACTCACGCACCCCTGTCCAACCTTCCCCCTATTTCTGGCTGAGCTTACCGTATGCGCATAGCACATCCGCCCTTCCTGGTTGTAGTACATGATGTTCAAGCGACGGCTCTGGTAGTCTGTGCAGTTGGAAGTGCTGGAGATCTGGCAAAGTTTGGGATAGGGAAAAGAATAATAAAATAAAATCTCTGAACGTTGACCACTCTGCCCAAGGTCTTGCAATTCTGTCTTCTGGCCTAGGCTGGGAGACCCTTTGTCCCAAAGTGTCCTCCTTTCCCATGTCTGACGCAGAGAGGAAGAGCCAGGCCCAGCTCCATCATGCCTCAGGGGGAAGAGAAGGCAAATTAGCAGGGCTTCATACACTCCCACTGCGAGTCCTCTTGCCTTATGTTTTGCATCTTATTTGGACGGTGAGCCCAAGGGCAGGGAACTGTGAACTAGAAGGAGAGGTAAAAAGGAAGGAAGGGAGGAAGGAAAAGGAGGAGAGAGGGAAGGAAGGAAAGAGGAGGAAAAGGGAGGGAGGGAGGGAGGGAGGAAGAAAGAAAGAAGGAAGGGAGGAGAGGAAAGAAAGAGAGGGAAGGAGGAGGAGGAGGGAAGGAAGGAAGGAAGGAAAAAGGAGAAGAGAAAGAAAGGAAAAAAGAAAGAAAGAAAGAAAGAAAGAAAGAAAGAAAGATAGACAGAAAGAGGGAGGGAGGGAGGGAGGGAGGGAGGGAGGGAGGGAGGGAGGGAGGGAGGGAGGGAGGGAGGGAGGGAGGGAAGAAGGAAGGAAGGAAGGAAGGAAGGAAGGAAAGAAAGAAAGAAGGAAAGAAAAAAGAGAAGGAAGAGAAGAGGGAGGGAAGGAAGGAAGGAAGGAAGGAAGGAAGGAAGGAAGGAAGGAAGGAAGGAAGGAAAAAGGGATGAAAGGGAAAGAAAGAAAGAAAGAAAGAAAGAAAGAAAGAAAGAAAGAAAGAAAAAAAGAAAGAAAGACAGATAGCCAACCAGCAGGAAGGAAGGAAGAAGTGCTGGTGTTGACCTATAAAGCCCTAAACGGCTCTGGCCCAGTTTACCTGTCCGAACGGATTCTCCCCTATGAGCCATCAAGGCTACTAAGATCTTCCGGGGGGGCCCTGCTCTCGGTCCCACCACCCTCACAATCACGGTTGGTGGGGACGAGAGACAGGGCCTTCTCGGTGGTGGCTCCCCGGCTTTGGAACTCCCTCCCACTAGAGGTTAGATCTGCCCCCTCCCTCCTGACGTTCAGGAAATCGTTAAAAACATGGCTCTGGAATGCGGCATTCAAAGACTGAACCTGGAACCTTCCCTGTGATGGATTATGATGAACTGCGACTATGAATATGATTATGACCATGACTGGATTGACGATTTGGCGTAGGAAACTGTAATGATGTAATGATGAGGTTTTATTGTACTGAGTTGTACTATTTTAATATGTAATGAGTTGTATTTGCTGTTTTATCTGATTGTATTTGATATGTACTGTAAACCGACCTGAGTCCCTCGTCGAGGTTGAGAAGGCCGGTATAGAAATCCTCTAAATAAATAAATAATAAGAAAAGAAAGAAAAAGAAAAAGGGATGAAGGGAAAGAAAGAAAGAAAGAAAGAAAGAAAAAGAAAGAAAGAAAGAAAGAAAGAAAGAAAGAAAGATAGCAGGCAGGCAGGCAGGCAGGCAGGCAGGCAGGAAGGAAGGAAGGAAGGAAGGAAGGAAGGAAGGAAGGAAGGAAAAGGAAGGAAAGGAGGAGGGGAGGAGGAGAGGAAGGAGGAGGAGGGAGGGGGAGGGAAGGAAGGAAGGAAGAAGGAAAGAAAAGGAAGGAAAGAAAGGAAAATGAATGGAAGGGACAGTCAAGAAGTAACGAGAGAAGGAGGGAAAGAGGGAAGGAATGAAGGAGGGAAATGGAGAAGGAAAAAGGAGAGAAGGAAGGAAGGAAGGAAGGAAGGAAGGAGGAAGGAAGGAAGGAAGGAAGGAAGGAAGAAGGAAGGAGGAGAAAGGAAGGAGGAGGAAGGAGAGGCAGGCAAGAAAGAAAGAAAGAAAGAGAGAATGAAAAAAGGGGGAGGGAAGGAAGGAAGAAAAAAAGAGGGAGGGAACGAAGGAAGGAGAGAAAGAAGGAAGGAGAGAGAAAGAAAGAGAGGGAGGGAGAGATGGAAGGAAAGAACTTCCACAAGGAAATGCCTGTTCTGCTCTAAGCCTGGTAGACTGGCCCCCTCACCTCTCCATACTTTCCCCGTCCAGGCATCCAGGCCTCAATGTCGAATTTCCTGTAGGCAGGAAGGCCCAGTTCCTGGGTGGGCATATCAAGAACCCTGGCAATAAAGAGAACACGAATCAGGCATGGGTGGGGTGGCCATGTTGGCTTGGGATTCTGGGAGTTGGGCATTCCATGTGTTTTGGAATTTCTAACCCATGCCTTAGGGTCACCATCAGTTGGGGAAAAAACATTGAAAAATGGCCAGCATGGATCCTATAAGTAACACTGGAAAAAAGCATGGAGCCTCACTTGAAGTGTAGCCCCAGTTCAGAGAAGATCTCTTTCTGCAGTGTAAGGAATTCCTCCAGCAAGGCTGCGCTCTCCAAGCCTGTCTCGTTGGCCGTAACCCCGAACATTTCCACCTGGATGGCAAGAGAGAAATGGGACAATTACTCACAATGATAGGGGTGCATGCACTTGTGGAGCAAAATCACAGGTTCACTTTCCTTGCAACCTGGCAAAAGAAAGAGAAGCATCCAACTCCAGACAACCAAACTTCATAGAGAATTCCCATATTTTTTACCCAGTGGTCTTGTGGTGTAGGGCTTGCAAACTAGACATTCATTTGGAAGTAAAGGGAGGAAGCTTCACACCATAATAATAATAATAATAATAATAATAATAATAATAATAATAATAATAATAATAATAATAATAATAATATCATCTTTGTGCTGTGCTTTCAGCCATAGGATCTAAATGTCCTTTTCTTCCTCTCCATCTTGAAATGCATCCATATTCCCTTCCCTCATCCCCACAACTCCTTCCATTTCACGGTGCTTTACCTTTGCAAACTGATGAACTCTGTACAGACCCCATGGATCCTTGCCTGTGTCTGTTTCGGCTCTGTAACATGTGCTGGAACACACTGTTCTGTCCAAGGGAAAAGGAGATGTTTGTTAGCTGACAGTCAAGAGAGAGAAGGACTCTATAATTCCCATATAGGGCTTTCTTAGGGTCTTTCCACACAGCCCTATATCCCAGGATATTAAGACAAAAAATCCCACATTATCTGAGTGTGGACTCAGATTTTCTGCCTTGATATTCTGGGATACAGGGCTGTGTGGAAGAGCCCTAAGTGTGGACTCAGATAACCCAGTTCAATGCAAATATTGTGGGATTTTCTGCCTATTCTGGGATATAGGTGTGGAAGGGCCCTTGAACAAGAAGTGGTTATGACAGTTTCTTCCTCTAAAATATAGCTAACAGCACCTAGTATTCATTGGCAGTTTCCCATCAAAAGGCTAGTATAATAACACACAGCTCACCAAAATATAATAACGTGGCGAGAGTAGTAAGATTTTTAATTAAAATTATTTACGGGGAAATATAAATATATAAAATAAATCCCAAACGCTCGCTGCTCAGCCAAAATTATAACGCCATCAAAAGGAAGAGGGAGTATGGTTGCTGAATCAACCGTATATTTAAAAGTTAGGAACTGGGAACCCCTTGAACTGAGAAACTTAAAATGATTCTTCAAATGAATTCTGCTGCCACCATTTCCAATATTAATCAGGCTGAAGTAATAATGAGAGTTGTGTTCTGTAACACACACTGTGCCACTGTAGAGGCTACTGTGAAGCTGACTTTAATAATTCTTTGACCACAAAGATATTCACACTGAGGCTGGTATAAGTTGATAAAAATAACAAGAACGTTTATTGAACAGGCTTGAATAATTCAGGTACAAATGTTAATGATAGCCATGTATAAATATGTGAGAGGAAGCCACAGGGAGGAGGGAGCAAGCTTGTTTTCTGCTTCCTTGGAGACTAGGACGCGGAACAATGGCTTCAAACTACAAGAGAGGAGATTCCATCTGAACATGAGGAAGAACTTCCTGACTGTGAGAGCCGTTCAGCAGTGGAACTCTCTGCCCCGGAGTGTGGTGGAGGCTCCTTCTTTGGAAGCTTTTAAGCAGAGGCTGGATGGCCATCTGTCAGGGGTGATTTGAATGCAATATTCCTGCTTCTTGGCAGAATGGGGTTGGACTGGATGGCCCATGAGGTCTCTTCCAACTCTTTGATTCTATGATTCTATGATTCTAATGGTTTCAGTAAAATACTGACATAAAAAGCTTGTGGTTGTGTTAGAGTCAAAATATTAAAATCTTCTGGGTAACGAGTTCCACCACAAAAAAATTACTTCAGAAAATGAATCTCTGAAAGTAACTCCCAAAAATGCCCCTGAGGAATCTAGCCAAAAAACCCCGAACTAGACTTCCTTAGGAATTGAATAGACCACTAACGGGGTGCTGCTCCACAAAACAGTATTCTAGCTATCTACTCAATAGCTATTCTGAATACTATACAAAAGACTGACCCAAAATTCTTCTTCAAACCCAAACTCGCTCTGACTAACACCCACACTTCTTCTCTCTAACAGTTCCAAACTGCAACTGTTTAAAACTGGGACTTCAAGCCTCAGTTTAAAAGGCACTTTTTTCCTCTAGGCCATTTAGGCTCCGCCCCCATTTTTCTAACCAATCCTAGCCTTATTTTCCCTACAAGACTTGAATGCGCCCCATCAAGGTAAACCTACCTAATTTGGCTTCTCCCTGTCTCCCTTTTCTAAAATGGGTGCCGTGGCTTCGCCAGGCCCACTCCCTTAGTCCTCAGGTAGCCAACTAAGGTAAGGGATTAATTACAGCTAGCCAGGAGTGATCCTGTACTCTTTCAAAAATAGTATTTTTTCCTCTCCAAAAAAATATCCATTAGTACAGCCTAAAGACTTTAAGAACTATCTCCCCATTGCCTTTCCCTTTTCATTTTAGATTGGAAGCCTGTCAGGATTTGACAGTTATACTCTACCCTGGGCTTTGGGCTGGAGAGCAAGGCACTCTTCTTCTAACCTAAATAGATAAATAAAAATGAACAAATATATCCCAACTAGCCGTCCCCTGCCATGCATTGCTGTGGCCCAGTCGGTGTATATGTATTGTGTGTGTATATATGTGTGTATATGTGTATACTCAACGCTTCGATCACTGGAATACATGCTCCCCCAAATGGGAAGTTTAGTTTCACAACTCTGTATCTTTATGAGCTCCCGGCAAATAACTTGTTCCTATTTTTATCTCATTATAGTTTTTAAATTTTTATCCTGTACATGTGGCCCGCCCACTGTTTACTATGTCTGTGTTTTTTGTTTATTGTAATGCTATTTTATTATTGAATTTTTTTAAATGTAATTTTGATGATGTTGCTTGTTGTTTATGTTTTGGTTTTATCTTGATGTAATATGTTGTCCGGACTTGGCCCCATGTAAGCCGCTCTGATTCCCCATCGGGGAGATGGTGGTGGGGTATAAATAAAGATTATTATTATTATTATTATTATTTTTTGCATGCGTTGTAATTTTTTTTTTGGCTTTTTAAGTCTCTTCTGCAGTGTTTTTCAGATTTTTATAAGTGATGGTTACTCCTTGAGTTAGTAGGTGTCTTGGGACCAAACTTGGTGTCTATTCATCCAGTGGTTTTTGAGTTATGTTAATCCCACAAACAAACACTACATTTTTATTTATATAGATGAGGAATGGTCATGAGCCGCTACAAGGAGGAAGTGTGGACTAGCTCATGATTCTATTGTTCTACCCACAAAGAGAATTATTACCTGACCGGCATGTCTTTGAGATCCACCGCATGATCCATAAAGTACCCTGATGGGAATGAAAAAGGAGAAAGGTGTTTATCTTTGATTGAAACCTCTCTGTTTCCATACAGACACTCAAACCACCCTTCCTCATCCTGCTTCCCTTCCAAAATGCTGGACTACAACTCTTATCATGTCCTTTTGTCAAGAGCAAGCATGGCCAAACTCCAGCCATCCAGATGTTTTGGATTTCAACTCCCACAATCCCTAACAGCTGGTAGGAACACCTGGAGGACTGAAGTTTGCCCATGTTTGCTCTAGAACAGTGTTTCTCAACCTCGGGGCCAGGACCCCTGGAGGGGGTCACAAGGGGGTGTCAGATGGGTCGTCAAAGACCACCAGAAAACACAGTATTTTTGTTGGTCATGGGGGTTCTGTTTGGGAAGTTTGGCCCAATTCTCTTGTTTGTGGGGTTCAAAATTCTCTTTGATTGTAGGTGAACAATAAATCCCAGTAACTACAACTCCCAAATATCAAGATCTATTCCCCCCAAACTCCACCAATGTTCACATTTGGGCATATTGAGTATTTGTGCCAAGTTTTCTCCAAATTCATCACTGCTTGAGTCCACAGTGCTCTCTGGATGTAGGTCAACTACAACTCCCAAACCCAAGGTCAATGCCCACCAAACCCTTCCAGTATTTTCTGTTGGTCATGGGAGGTCTGTGTGCCAAGTTTGCTTCAATTCCGATATTGGTGGAGTTCTTCGTTTGATTGTAGATGAACTATAAATCCCAGCAACTACAACTCCCAAATGACAAAATCAATCCCCTTTCCAAACCCACCATTATTCAAATTTGGGCATATTAGGTATTTGTACTAAATTTGATCCAGTGAATAAAAACACACCCTGCATATCAGATATTTACATTACGATTCATAACAGTAGCAAAATTACAATTATGAAGTAGCAACAAAAATAATGTTAATGTTATCCGCCCTGAGTCCCTTCAGGGAGATAGAGCGGAATATAAATAAAGTTGTTGTTATTATTATTATTATTTTACTGACACAAAGGCACAGTATGTCACAGCAAACGAGATCTCTATGTTGGATTTCGTATCACAAAATCACAAGTCGAACACTTCCCAAGCGTCTAGGACTGTGTGATGTATTTTTGAATGATGCGTGCAGATCCAGGTAAGGTGGCCTTTTGCAGTTGACAGATTGTGATTTTGTTGATGTTTATTGTTTCCAAATGCCGGCTGAGACCTTTTGGCATGGCACCCAGTGCGCCAATGACCACTGGGACTACCTGGACTGGTTGATGCCAGAGCCTTTGCAATTCCATTTTGAGGTCTTGATAGTGGCTGAGTTTTTCCTGTTGTTGTAGTTGTTATTATTATTATTATTGGGGGTCACCACAACATCTTACTGCCTATTACAGGGAAAACCAGCTGATTCCCAACCCATCTAAAACACAGACATGTGCCTTTCATCTCAAGAACAGAGAAGCATCCCGAGCTCTGAAGATCACCTGGGAAGGAATTCCACTGGAGCATTGCAGCGCACCCAAATACCTGGGAGTCACTCTGGACCGTGCTCTTACCTACAAGAAGCACTGCCTGACATCAAGCAAAAAGTGGGTGCTAGAAACAATATCATACGAAAGCTGACTGGCACAACCTGGGGATCACAACCAGATACAGTGAAGACATCTGCCCTTTCGCTGTGCTACTCTGCTGCTGAGTATGCATGCCCAGTGTGGAACACATCTCACCACACTAAAACAGTGGATGTGGCTCTTAATGAGACATGCCGCATTATCACGGGGTGTCTGCGCCTACACCACTGGAGAAATTACACTGCTTAGCCGGTATTGCACCACCTGACATCCGCCGGGAAGTAGCAGCCAATAGTGAAAGGACCAAGGCAGAGACATCTCCAGCTCATCCCTGTTTGGGTATCAGCCAGCACGCCAACGACTTAAATATAGACATAGTTTTCTAAGATCTACAGAGACACTCGCTGGAACACCTCAGCAAGCGAGAGTCCAAAAGTGGCAGGCTCAAACCCAGAACCTCAACCAATGGCTGATACCAAATGAGAGACTCCCTCCTGGGCACACAGAAGACTGGGCGACTTGGAAGGCACTGAACAGACTGCGCTCTGGCACCACGAGGTGCAGAGCCAACCTTCAGAAATGGGGCTACAAAGTGGAATCCTTGGCATGCGAGTGTGGAGAAAAGCAAACCACTGACCACCTGCTGCAATGCAACCTGAGCCCTGCCACATGCACCATGGAGGACCTTCTTGCAGCAACACCGGAAGCACTCCAAGTGGCCAGATACTGGTCAAAGGACATTTAACCAACTACCAAACTCACAAGATGTGTATTTTTCTGTCTGTTTGCTTTGTTCTGTTAGAAATGTAATATATAATGGACTGGTTGCTCTGACACGACAAATAAAATAACCACAACATGAGGAACTGTATTAAGGGCTCACGGCATTAGGAAGGTTGAGAAACACTGATGTAGTGGTTCTCTTCCATGCACAAGCTACGACTTTCCTGTTAGGTAGGGCTGTACCTGCAATGCCAACCTCGGATGTGCCAGCCAGGCTCAGGTCTTCAAAACGGGATGGGTCTATGTTGTACAGCTGAGAGGAGCTGGCATCAGGAAGCATGCCACAGCCTTCCTGGTAAGAAGAGAAAGGACTTCATCCCTGGCAGTAAAACCAAAATTTCTACACATTTAAGAAATGGCAACCCACTGTGCCCTTCACACGACACAAGCTTTCTCGGTGGTGGCCCCTCGACTCTGGAATTCACTTCCCAGGGACATTAGACATGCCCCAACATTAGAAGTCTTTAGGAGGAGCTTGAAAACGTGGTTGTTCCAGTGTGCCTTCCCAGAATAAGGAGAACTCTCAGCAATATGCCCTCATAATTGGTATAGTATAATATAGCAATATTTAAAACTGATATTGTACTATACTAATAATATAATATATTGTATGTAATATGTACCTTGTAAGCTGCTCTGAGTCCCCTTTGGGGTGAGAAGGGCGGCATATAAATGTCAAAAATAAATAAATAAATAAATACTAGATACCAGAAGCTGCTGGAATTTCACCCCACTCTGCCTGATAAGCCTTCTATCTTGAACTCAAAGGAGAAGCTCCATGAATATATTTTTAATAATTGTGCCCACCATGATAGGCAGGCCATTAACAACTCCAAATTCTCCCACTGGTTTAGACTGTACAAACTTGACCATGATAGGGCTATCTACCTGCCTAGGCTCACATTTCCAAAACTTAGACAAGCCTTCACAGCCCTCCGTTCAAAGTATGCCCACAGCAATGATTGATGGCAGATATACGGGCACCCCTCTGGCTCTTCGTGTTTGTGGGGCCTCGGAAATTGAGGATCTGCCTCACTATTTGCTTTTCTGCCCTTTGTATTCTGAACCAAGAACCAAAATCCTGGGGTTTATTCTTCACCTCCTTCAGACCAACACTGTGTCTGAAAAGATTTTCTATCTCTTGGCTGACACTAACCCGGTGGTTGCTCACAAGGTGTCTCTTTTTGCCCTGGCAGCACAGAAAATCCGGGCAAAACTAATCTCTGATATTGCAGTTGACTGTGCTGGGGATGCTTTCAACTAATAGTGGCTGTTTATGTAGTTTTAATAATGCTGTATCTATTTGCTTTTACTTGGTTTTTAATTACGCAGGTATGAGTCTATACATTATGTAGTATTTTAAAGGTGCATCTTGCCATCGATATATGTAGCATTTTAACGATTTATATGATTTTATTGTGTATTTTATATTGTATTTAATAATTTGGTGTTTATGTATTTATTTATCTGCCTTGCCTTGTATGTGAAAGACCTATGGTCAAAGCATCGAATAAACTACTACTACTACTACTACTACTACTACTACTACTACTATTATTTATTATTTATTTATTTGCTTTATTTCTATACCGCATTTTTCAGCCCTTAACAGGCGACTCAATGCGGTTTACATGGTACAATTATCAAACAGTGTCAGTGCAATTAAAACATAACAATGCAACAAACAGGATCAACAGCATCAATCCACAACAGTTAACAATCAACAAGGCAGATCAACAAAACAGACATAACATAACGCCTCAGCTGAAATCAGATCCGTTCTCATAATCCTTGTGCCATTCCTATGTTCCATTTACCGTCTTCCTATGATTGGTTGCACTGCTTAACCAAATGCTTGTTCATAAAGCCAGGTCTTAACCATTTTCCGAAACATCAGCAGCGAAGGTGCCTGTCTGATGTCTGCCGGTAGGGCATTCCATAGCCGAGGGGCCACCACTGAGAAGGCCCTGTCTCTCGTCCCCGCCAAGCGCGCCTGTGACGCAGGCGGGATCGAGAGCAGGGCCTCCCCAGACGATCTTAATGTTCTGGTCGGTTCATAGGTGGAGATGCGTTCGGAGAGGTAAGCAGGGCCAGAACCGTGTGTTTATGATAGAATTAGAAAATGACATTGATAACCCAGGAACAAAAATTGTGTTACATAGTGTAATCAGTTCATAAGCTTTGTAAATGCCAAGAAAGTGCTAAGATGTAAAGCCACATAGCTCATGTCTTTCCCATTCAGGCTGCAAGGTTCATAGTTAGCAGGGATGCCCAAAAAGCTTGTACACAAGTGTGCACACAATAGACAGTGGATAGAAACTTCCCAAGAAGCACCCATGTTATGCTCCAGAAGACTTCAGATTGCAAAGAGGGAGAAAAAGTGAAAGAGTACTCACAAACACAGCTCCTTTAAGCAGGTCTGGAACAGCCATTGGGATGAAGCCCTATAGGAAGAGTTTGACATCAGTACATTTATTTATTATTTATTTATGACATTTATATGCCACCTTTTTCACCACGAAGGGGACTCAGAGCGGCTTACAAGATATTATACACACACACAAACACACACACACACAATATATATTATATTATTAGCATAATACAATATCAGTATTATATATTACTAGCCGTCCCTGCCACGCGTTGCTGTGGCCCACATGGGGGTTCTGTGTGAGAGCTTTGGCCCAATTCTATCGTTGGTGGGATTCAGAATGCTCTGTGATTGTAGGTGAACTATAAATCCCAGCAACTACAACTCCCAAATGTAAAGATTCTATTTTCCCCAAACTCTACCAGTGTTCACATTTGGGCATATTGAGTATTTGTACAACGTTTTGTCCAGATCCATAATTGCTTGAGTCCATAGTGCTCTCTGGATGTAGGTGAACTACAATTCCAAAACTCAAGGTCAATACCCACCAAACCCTCCCAGTATTTTCTGTTGGTCATGGGAGTTCCGTGTGCCAAGTTTGGTTCAATTCCATCGTTGGTGGAGTTCGGAATGCTCTTTGATTGTAGGTGAACTATAAAACCCAGCAACTACAACTCCCAAATGTCAAGATTCTATTTTCCCAAAACTCTACCAATGTTCACATTTGGGCATATTGAGTATTCGTGTAGAGTTTGGTCCAGATCCATCATTGTTTTAGTCCACAGTGATCTCTGGATGTAGGTGAACTACAACTCCCAAACTCAAGGTCAATACCCACCAAACCCTTCCAGTATTTTCTGTTGGTCATGGGAGAACTGTGTGCCAAGTTTGGTCCAACTGTATTCTTGGTGGAGTTCAGAATGCTCTTTGATTGTAGGTGAACTATAAATTCCAGCAACTACAACTCCCAAATGACAAAATCAATTTTTTTGAGTGAAGGACATACATGGGGTTACTAGGTGTCTTGTGTCCAAATTTGGTGTCAATTTGTTCAGTGGTTTTTGAGTTCTGTTAATCCCACAAACGAATGTTATATTTTTATTTATATAGATTAGGAGCTGTTGATTATTGGGAAATTTGGCTCCAAATGCTCAACAAGGGGCCCCTTGGACAGTCCTACCTTTTCATTTTAGACATGGTATTGTGTGCTCAGTATTACCAGGAGCCTTCGGTTAAACCGCTGAGCTGCTAAACTTGCTAACCGAAAGGTTGCAGGTTTGAATCCGGGGAGTGGCATGAGCTCCCACTGTTAGTCCCAGCTTCTGCCAACCTAGCAGTTCGAAAACATGCAAATGTGAGCAGAGTAATAGGTACCACTCTGGCAGGACAGTAACGGCGCTACATGCAGTCATGCTGGCCAAATGACCTTGGAGGTGTCTATGGACAACACCGGCTCTTCGGCTTAGAAATGGAGTTGAGCACACAACTGGAAAACCTTTACCTTTACAGTATTACTAAATCTAAAGGAACTGCCCCTTAATACGTAAGAGATTTCTAGTAGGAAAAGATGCTTTGTATAGTTGTTGTGCATCGTTGTCAGTACCTTTTTCATCAGCTTGTTGAGTGCAAATTGTACCAGGGCCTGTTGGAGAACGGCTCCAGCTCCACGGAGGTAGTACGACCGGTGACCTGAGACGTGTGACAAACGCCTGGAGAAGCAGAAGAAGCAGAAGCAGAAGAAGAAGGGGAGATATTCAGATGTTCTTGTGAGGTCTTCTGGAAGAGAACCTCAAGGGCAGGCATGGGCAAACTTGGGCCCTCCAAGTGTTTTGGACTTCTACTCCCACCATTCCAAACAGCCTCAGGCCCCTTCCTTTTCCTCCTCAGCCGCTTAAGCTCAGCCGCTATGTGTTTTGTGTGTGTTTATATTTGTGTATGTGTGGGTTTTTTTTGCTTTTTAAGTTTTCTCCGCTGTGTTTTTCAGTGTTTTTATGAGTGACTGTAGCCAAACCTTCATTCCCTCTTTCTTTCCTTTCTTTCTCTTCTTCCTTCCCTCCCTCTTTCCTTCCTTCCCCCTTTTTCTTTCTTCCTTCTCTACCTGTATCTTTCCTCCCTTCCTTTGCTCTTTGGTTCCATCCTTCCTTCTCTCTTTCCTTCCTTCCCTCCCTCCCTCTTTCTATTTTTGTTCCTTCTCTCCTTCCTTCTCTCTCTTTCCTTCCTTCTTTCACTTTTTTATTTCTTTCTCTTCTTCCTTCCTTCCCTCCCTCTCTCTTTCTCTCTTTTGTTCCTTCTCTCCTTCCTTCCCTCTCTCTTCCCTTCCTTTTTTCACTTTATTTCTTTCTCTCCTTCCCTCCCTCCCTCCCTCTTTTGTTCCTTCTCTCCTTCCTTCCCTCTCTTTCCTTCTTTCTTTCACTTTATTTTTCTCTCCTTCCTTCCTTCCGTCTTTCTCTCTTTTGTTCCTTCTCTCCTTCCTTCCCTCTCTCTTTCCTTCCTTCTTTCACTTTTTTATCTTTCTCTCCTTCCCTCCCTCCCTCCCTCCCTCCTTTTGTTCCTTGTCTCCTTTCTTCCCTCTCTTCCCTTCCTTTTTTCACTTTTTTATTTTTCTCTCCTTCCTTCCCTCTCTCTTTCCTTCCTTCTTTCACTTTTTTATTTCTTTCTCTCCTTCCTTCCTTCACTACATTTCTTTCCTTCTTTCCCTCTTTCTATCCCTCCTTCTCTCCTTCTCTCCTTCCTTTCTTCCCCCTCTCTGTGTATATGTGTTTTGTGTGTGTTTATATTTGTGTATGTGTGTTTGTGTATATATGTGGTTTTGCACATGCGTTGTAATGGTTTTTTTATTTGCTTTTCTGGCTTTTTAAGTCTCTTCTGCTGTGTTTTTCAATGTTTTTATGAGTGATGGAYACTCCTTGGCCTGATAGGTGTCTTGTGTCCAAATTTGGTGTCAATTCGTTCAGTGGTTTTTGAGTTATGTTAATCCCACAAACAAACATTACATTTTTATTTATATAGATTTGCCAAATGCGAAAGAGTTGAATTGTTCTGGGAAACATCCAATGCCCAGGGCAAGAGGAAACTTTTTCTATGAACGGTGACTCCTGTTTGCTTTGTCCTAGGCACTAAAGAGACTTTTGTGAAATTAGAGAAGGAGGATAAAAAGCTTTCATGTTGGGAAATGCCCAGGGGGTAAATTAACCATCTCAAAAACAAAATATAAAATATTTATTCCTGCTCTGGAAGGGAAAGAGACTCACAATCAGCTAATGGGTGCGTGCAGAATCTGGAATTACCAGGCAGCGTTATAGGTGGATTGTTTTGCCAATGTACACTTTCACTTATGATGGAGTATGGTGGAAGCTCCTTCTTTGGAAACTTTCAAAAAGCCTGGATGGCCATCTGTCAGGGGTGCTTTGAATGCAATTTTCCTGCTTCTTGGCAGGGGGTTGGACTAGATGGCCCATGAGGTCTCTTCCAACTCTATGATTCGATGACCCAATGTAGTTACTAACTTATGATGATCACAGGATTTTCTTGGCAAGTGAATATTCAAATATATTTTTATGCCAGTAGATGGTGCTCCTGCTTTGTATTTTCTCTCTCTACAATGTATGTTGGGCCCTACAGTTCCTTTTCAGAATACCGGACAAAATACTAGAGTGGGATGAGAGAAGCAAAGAGTTTTGTTTTTGGGTTGCTGCAAATTTTTCAGGCTGCGTGGCCATGTTCCAGAAGCATTCCCTCCTGACGTTTCGCCCACATCTATGGCAGGCATCCTCAGAGGTTGTGAGGTTTCTTGGAGACAAGGACAATGGGGTGTATATATTTATTTATTTCGCGTATTTCTACCCCGCCCTTCTCAACCCCCGAGGGGGGACTCAGGGCGGCTTACAAGGCACAATTCGATGCCAGCATAAACATAACAATGGATAAAACATGTAAACAGCAATTATAACAATTAAGACAGTCAGTATATCAGGGTGCGAGAAAGAACTCATGTCTGTTGGAAATAGGTGTGAATGTTTCAATTGGCCACCTTGATTAGCATGTAATGGTGTGACTTTCAAGGTGTGACTTCGTATTGCCTGTGGGCATCCTGTGTTGAGAAGTGATTAGCTGTTCTTCACTGTTTCTTGTCTGGAGCTCCCCTGTCTTTATTTACTGTTATGATTTTAGATTTTTTAATACTGGTAGCCTAATTTTGTTCATTGTCATGGTTTCTTCCTTTCTGTTGAAAGGAATTTGTCCAGTAAGAAGTCACACCTTGAAAACTGCTGGACCATTAAATGCTAATCAAGGTGACCAATTAAAACATTCACACCCACCGCCAACAGACAAGAGTTCTTTTTCCCACTCTGGACAATCATTCCACAGATATATAAACCTCACTTGCCTGGTTTCCAACAGACCTCACAACCTCTGAAGATGCCTGTTATAGATGCAGGTGAAACGTCAGGAGAGAATGCTTCTGGAACATGGCCATATAGCTAAAAAAACTTACAGCAACCCAGTGATTCCAGCCATGAAAGCCTTCGACAACAGTTTTGTTTTTCATTAGCAATCCTCCATTACCACGACAACAGCCTCTACTACCAACCTTTGCCTTATGATTCCCAGCTCTTCTCCAAGTTCCAGGTGCCCTTTCACCTCAAAGTCAAATACTGTTTTAAAAAACAGAATAGAGATACGAGAAACAATGAAACCAAGAAAGAAGAAAAGAAAACCTATCCACTGGGTTGTTGTAGGTTTTTCCGGGCTATATGGCCATGTTCTAGAAGCATTTTCTCCTGACGTTTCGCCTGCATCTATGGCAAGCATCCTCAGAGGTTGTGAGGTCTGTTGGAACTAGGAAAAAGGGTTTATATATCTGTGGAATGACCAGGGTGGGACAAAGGACTCTTGTCTGCTGGAGCTAGGTGTGAATGTTTCAAGAGTCTGTTAGAACAGACCTCACTACCTCTGAGGATGCTTGCCATAGATGCAGGCGAAACACCAGGAGAAAATGCCTCTAGAACATGGCCATATAGCCCGGAAAAACCTACAACAACCCAATGATTCCAGCCATGAAAGCCTTCAACAATACATAAAACCTATCCAGCTGTTAAAGGAGAGGTAAGTGGATCTAGCAGACCAAAATATTCTGTTTCCTGTGCAAGGAGGCTTCATGTGAGCCTGGGGGCTGCAAAATGTAGCATCAGGTGTCAGACTCTGAATGATCTTGGAGTTTCAATCAAGCTCACAACAATAAAACGCTGGAGCAATTTTTTTCATATTTCTTTCCACAATCCTACAAAGACAGTTCTAAAGTTTCCTCGCTCAAACTTCCTGTATATATCAGTCCCAACTCCCATCCGCCCCCTGGTGGTCAAACTTTGTGCCCACAGTCCGTTAACGTACATTTCAATTTCCCTTACAAAAATATTATTATTATTATTATACTTTATTTATACCCTGCGGAGCCCCCGGTGGCGCAGTGGGTTAAACCCCTGTGCCGGCAGAAGACCGACAGGTCGCAGGTTCGAATCCAGGGAGAGGTAGATGAGCTCCATCTATCAGCTCCAGCTCCTCATGCGGGGACATGAGAGAAGCCTCCCACAAGGATGACAAAACATCAAATCATCCAGGCGTCCCCTGGGCAACGTCCTTCCAGACGGCCAATTCTCTCACACCAGAAGCGACTTGCAGTTTCTCAGGTCGCTCCTGGCACGACCAAAAAATAAATAAATTATACTCCACCACCATCTCCCCAAGGGGACTCGGGGCGGCTTACATAAGGCCACGCCCATCAGTACAAAACACAGTATTAAACAAAAACACAACAAAATTAAAAATACAATAACATAAAATACAAAACCAATATAAAAAAACGGCGCAACAATATAAACTCAGAACATTAATACGGCTCCGGCCCAGCGTACCTCTCCGAACGCATCTCCCTCTACGTCCCACCACAGAGTTTGAGATCTTCTGGGGAGGCCCTGCTCTCGACCCCTCCTCTATCACAAGTGAGATTGGTGGGGATGAGGAGCAGGGCCTTCTCTGTGGTGGCCTCTCACCTGTGGAATTCACTCCCTGGGGAAATTAGGTCATCGACATCCCTCCTCTCTTTCAGAAGGAAATTAAAAACATGGTTGTGGGACCAGGCTTTCGGGCAATCTGGCGGTTAGATAAGGACAATGACGACCAGAATCGATAGTACTTCACAATGTGGAATGAATTTACGGACTCTGAGATGGCGAACACTGAGCATTAGATTGTTTTTATTGATTTTGATGTATAAACTGACTGTCTTAATTGTTATAATTGCTGTTTACATGTTTTATCCATTGTTATGTTTATGCTGGCATCGAATTGTGCCTTTGTAAGCCGCCCTGAGTCCCCTCTCGGGGGTTGAGAAGGGCGGGGTAGAAATGCGCGAAATAAATAAATAAATAAATAAAACACTAAAATGATCACAATGGGCAGGGCCAGTTTCAAAGATTAAAAATTTAAAACCACTGGGTGATAGGGCAATGTAATATATCTGGACAGGGGATCCGGGGATAAGGCAAAATTTAATTACACGTACCAGAAAATGATGTGCTTCTGAGGGCATTTTATGCGGTGTTTGGTCAGGAGTTAACGTACATTCAGTCATTGAAGACACACTGGAAAAGCCAAGTTTTCAGGCTCTTCCTAAAGACTGCCAGAGTGGGGGCTTGTCTAATATATCTGGGGAGCGAATTCCAGAGCCAAGGGGCCACTACAGAGAAGGCCCTTTCCCTCATGTCCATAAGTCGTGCTTGCGATGGGGGCGGGAGCGAGAGAAGGGCCTCTCCGGAAGATCGCGCAGACAAAACAGATGGCTTATTTACACTACCTTCCCCAACTGTACCCAGTCTCCCCCATTTCCCTTCTTTATGGCAGAGAACCAAAGCGGCCGGTCCCAGGCTGATACAACGATCCTGACATCAGGCCTGCTTGCAATCCACAGGCTCCCCACTGCATTAAAATCAAGGCAAACTCCACAGCAACCAGGGAAGAAAGTCTGGCAGCCTTGTCCTCACCCTCTGCAAAGCCAGCATCCTCTTTTGTATTTCTCACCTGGTTTTGATCCAACTGTCTCCACCACCTTCGCTTGGGACTCGTCTCCAATTGGCTGCAGGTAAAGAACACAAAAAGAAGGCAAATTATTCCTATTCTAATACTATTAATAATAATATATTTTATATTATATCTAATATTACTAATAATATTGCAATATAAGGGTACAGTACAATATAGTAATTTATAATACTGATGTTATGCTATGCTAATAATATAATATATGGTATATATAATATACAATATATATATGTCCACACCCTTCCTGTGGACATCAGACTGGCACCCTCCCTTATGACATTCCGCAAGAGACTAAAGACGTGGTTGTTGGAGAAGGCATTTGAGTAAGTGCGGCAACAATTGGCAATGACGATTGGAACGGAACATGGATAACGAGATTTGGATTGTGGTTCAACGATGAGACGTAGCGAATGACTTATTGTAATTGTATTATTGATATTGATGTTGTTTAATGTTGTTTTTGATATTGCTAGTTGATGTTGGCTTATGTTGTAAATTGCACCTGATTTTACATGTTGTACACCGCCGTGAGTCGCCCCAGGGCTGAGAACGGCGGTCTATAAGCGCAGTAAATAAATAATAAATAAATATATAATATATATGTAGTATATTATATATAATAATATATTATATATTATAATATATATAATATATTGTATATACATATGATATAATATATTGTATATACATATGATATTTATAATATTAAAATGTAATACAATATAATAATATGATATTATAATTATATATTTTACATTACATGTAATACTACTAATAATATTACAATATAATGGTATAGTACAATATAGTAATATATAATACTAATATTGTGCTATGCTAATAATATAATATATTGTATGTATATATATCTTGTAAGCCACTCTGAGTCCCCTTTGGGGTGAGAAGGGCAGCATATAAATGTCATAAATAAATAAATAGGTTGGCAGAAGCTGGGGCTGACTGTGGGAGCTCATTCCACTCCCTGGATTCGAACCTGCGATCTTTCGGTCAACAAGTTCAGCAGCTCAGCGCTTTAACCCACTGCACCACCGGTTGCTAAAAATACTATATTATCTCATAACATATGATAATGTATCTATGTTTTAAATTATTATTAATAATATTTGAACCTGCGACCTTTCAGTTGCAAATACTATATAATATCATAATATATTATAATATATTATTGTTTAATATATTATTATTAATATTTGAACCTGCGACCTTTCGGTTGCTAATAATACTATATTATCTCATATATTGTTAATAATATACTACTTTATGAGAAGGACGGCATATAAATGTTGTAAATAAATAAATTCTGGGTTTGGAAAGTACAACTCACAGATTTATTTTACAACTGTAAGACACACATAAAATTACACAAGCCAACAAGTATTTCTCATCAGATATAATTTTAGGTCATTCTTATAGTTTTTTTGTACTGAATTCAGATATGTGTTTATTTTTTTCTCTATCACGTGTAATTTTTGCAATGAGGCTAATCAAATAATTAATGCATTTACACACTGATATCAACAGAATCTAATTGATATCAGTGCATAAATGTAGTAATTATTCAATTAGCCTCATTGCAAAAACTACATATGATAGAGAAAAAATAAACACATCTGAATTCAATGCAAAAAAAAAACTCTATAAGAATGACCTAAAATTATACCGGATGAAAAATATTTTTTAGCTTGTGTTGCACTAATATGATGTGAAATGTGCAGATTTTATAGTAGTCAGCTGTAATGTACCATTCATCATATTTTAAAAAGTTGACATGATGGAAAAAAATAAAGACATATTTAAAATAAGCATAAAATTTTATTTAAACTGTGCTACAAAAATGATTTTGTTGATTTGTGTTATTTTTCTATGTAATTTTTTCAACTATTAAAAAATAAATCCAAATTAATGTTATAATTAAAAGACAGGCCTAGGACTCAATGCATCTGAAGAAGTAGACTTAAGTCTACGAAAGCTTATGTACCAACTTCTTTTTCCTCAATTAGTCTTGAAATGCCCTACAAAATCCCTTTGCATACTTATATTTCAGACTAATGTGATGATGTCTTTGAATACTGTTTGAAGTATTCTCAAGTAAAGGTGTGTTCCCAGATTTTCCTGGCCTTCTTCAATCATCTGGAAAGGCCCTGCTCATGCTCCCACCTCCTTCGCAGGCGCGATTGGTGGGGACAAGGGAGACGGCCTTCTTGGTGGTGGCCCCTCGACTCTGGAATTCACTCCCTAAGGACATCAGACATGCCCCAACGCTGGCAGTCTTTAGGAGGAGCCTGAAAACATGGTTGTTCCAGTGTGCCTTCCCAGAATAAGGAAAACTCTTAGCAATATGTCCTCAAATGCACTTTAATATTGATTTAGGATTGTTTGCGCGCCCTCATCTTTCTCTGAAAACCCTATCCTAGTTTATCCTACCTTGTTCATGCCCAGCATTTTAAATTTTAAATTTTAATTATTACATTTGGCCTGGCCATAGGTTTTAAATGCTCTATGTTATTGTTATTGTTTATTGCTTATTGTGTATTTTTGTTTTTTTTTATTTTAACTGTTTGTATTGATTATTTGTTATTGCCTTTGTTTATTGATGTGCTGTGGGTTTGGCCTCATGTAAGCCGCACCGAGTCCCTTGGGGAGATGGTAGCGGGGTACAAATAAAGTTGTTGTTATTATTATTATTATTATTATTATTATTATTATTATTATTATTATCTCTCTGGGGTTTTAGGATGCCTCCCCCATTCTGAGCCCTCAGATCTTCCAAGTTCGATGCTGCATCTCTGTATGAGTGTCTTTACCACATCAGGATGGGTCCTATTGGGCAGCCTGAGGGCAAGCAGGTAGTATTTTTCATCCAGTTCAATCTCTTCCTGACGCAAGGCATTGAGACGAAGGCGGAGATCCCGCCCTTGCTTTCGCAAGGCATTGTAAAGAGGGAGCTGGGCAGAAAGAGAGGAGAAATACCATCAGAATCTTGCCTGCTTGGATTAAAGAAGAGAGCTCTGGTTCAAATGTTTAACAACAGCCTAAAAAAGGAAAATAACTCTTGAGGGAAAGAGTTTACAAAGAACAGCAACAAAAAAAGCCTACTCTATAGTTCAGATATGTGGATGACACCTTCACCATTTGGAGCCATGGAGAAGAAGAACTCAACAGGTTCCTGGACCATCCTTACAGCATCCACCCAAACATCCAATTCACCATGGAAAAAGAAAATGAAGGAAGACTGCCTTTTCTAGATGTCCTAGTCATCCGTAAACCAGATCAACAATTGGGTCACACCATTTACAGAAAACCCACACACACAGATAGATATCTACATAAAAACTCCAACCATCACCCAAGTCAAAAAAGAAGCACCATTAAAGCCTTGGCAGACTGTGCAAAAAGAATCTGCGAAGCCCACCTCCTCCAAGATGAACTGAACCACCTCAACTGGGCTCTACAGACATGGAGACTCCACCTCAGACATCAGAAGAGCTGCAAGACAACCGAGAAGAAGCCACGAGAGTCAAGACAAAGATCCACCCAGAGGAAAAATGTTCTTGCCATACATCAAGGGAACCACTGACCGCATAGGGAAGCTGATGAGGAAATACAACATACAAACTATCTACAGACCCACCAAGAAAATGCAACAAATGTTATGTTCAGCAAAGGACAAAAGGGATCCTCTCACTTCTGCAGGCGTCTACCGTGTACCATGCAGCTGTGGACAAGTCTACATAGGGACCACCAAACGCAGCGCCCAAGCACGAATCAAGGAACATGAAAGGCACTGCAGACTACTTCAACCAGAGAAGTCAGCCATAGCAGAGCACCTGATGAACCAACCTGGACACAGCATTGTATTTGAGAACACAGAAATGCTGGACCACTCCAACAACCACCATGTCAGACTACACAGAGAAGCCATTGAAATCCACAAGCATGTGGACAATTTCAACAGGAAGGAGGAAACCATGAAAATGAACAAAATCTGGCTACCAGTATTAAAAAACTCTAAAATTACAACAGCAAAACAACAGAGAGGAAACAATCAGGGACAGCTAATCACTTCTCAACAAAAGATTCCCCCAGGCACTAACAAGCCACACCAAAAAACTGCCAGGCCATCAAATGCTAATCAAGGTGGTCAGTTGAAACATTCACACCTAGCTCCAACAGACAAGAGTTCTTTGTCCCACCCTGGTCATTCCACAGATATATAAACCCAATTTTCCTAGTTCCAACAGACTTCGCTACCTCTGAGGATGCTTGCCATAGATGCACGCGAAACGTCAGGAGAGAATACCTCTAGAACATGGCCATGTAGCCCGAAAAAACCTACAACAACCCAGTTAACAAAGAGTTTTCTCAGAGTAATTGGCCTCATGAGTGCTGAGAATCTACAACTTAAATAAAGAGAATTTTAAATCAACTGGATACAAACAACCACTTTCCTCATTCTAAGTACTAGTTGATTTGGAAAGAGAGCAGGAGGGTTTTTAGTCCTTTTTCTGGGCTTCCTAAAGACAGCTGATTGGACACCATGGGAAATAAGATGCTGGACTCAATAGATTTTTGGTAAAGCTGGGAAAACATGCTTTTTGTTTATTTGGGATCAGAACTACTAGAATCTCCAAGAAGCATAGCCACTGAAGTCGCAAAAGAGAGCACTGATCTTTGCCCTGATCGAATAAGGCTGCTTCTTGGATTCTTATATACACAAAGAAATAGCATAACTCATCCCCATCTATCTCTGCCATAACAAATTACATTTATTTTCAGCTTTAAGTCTATAAATCAGGACAGCAATCATGCAGCCTGTCAGTTGTTGCTGGACTACAACTCCCTGGAGCCATTGAAACAAAAGAATGCCAGAAGATGCAATGCAACATATATAGAACCATAGGAAAGAAAGGATATGTCCTTACTGATTGCAAAGTATTGCTCTCTTGACTTTTCTGGAAGAAAGGAAGAAGACAAAGCAGTAAGTTACAAAGAAGACAAAAAAGTAAGTTACAATTTATTTATTTCAAATCTAAAATAATGTAACAATTGCTATTACGGTAATCATGTAGCACACAATTCCAAACACAACATAAATTCAGGTTGACAATTCTCATGCTTGAAACAAAATCTATGCAGTCTCAAGAAAGGGAGGTTCATCCAGTTTTATAATTTTTTTTTACATTTAGTTACACTTTTTCGTCAACAGTGACAATCTCTCATGGATTGCTCCATGACAGTCGCTGTCTCGTGAGCTTACCACAAGATTCCGCACATTTTCAGCAACTCTGTTTTTTTCAGCTTCAACTGTTACAATCTCCTCTTGCACTTCAACCAGTTTCTGCCAAACAGCGAGCTGGTAAGCAACAGAATGAAAGGAATTACAAAATGACATCCCAACTCTAGATTTGTAAGATTAGAAAGAGCAAATAGCAGCATGTGTCCTCTTACATGAAACTAGGCAAAGGTAAAGGTTTTCCCTTGACATTAAGTCTAGTCGTGTCCAACTCTCGGGTGTGGTGCGCATCTCCATTTCTAAGCTGAAGAGCCGGCATTGTCCATAGACACCTCCAAGGTCATGTGGCCAGCATGACTGCATGGAGCGCCGTTACCTTCCTGCCGGAGCAGTACCTATTGATCTACTCACATTTGCATGTTTTCGAACTGCTAGGTTGGCAGAAGCTGGGGCTGACAGCGGAAGCTCACACCGCTTCCCAGATTTGAACCTGCAACCTTTCGGTCAACAGGTTCAGCAGCTCAGCGCTTTAACCCACTGCGGGCTCCTTAAAAACATTACATCTCTATAAATAAACATGTAATGTTTGTTTGTGGGATTAACAAAACTCACTGCACCACCAGGGGCTCCCACACATGAAACTAGTACACCTAAATAAGTAAGTCACACCAGAAGCAACTTGCAGTTTCTCAAGTTGCTCCTGACACAGAATAAATAAATAAATAAATAAATAAATAAATAAATAAATAAAGCAATAGAAGAGGAATCAGTTTCATGTGCTTGGATCATTTTCTAAAAGGCTTCAGACACTGGGAGCTGGGAGTTGTACTTTTACAAGCCACCAAATAGGAGGGACAGCTAATATTTCAGAGGACAGGATCCAAATTCAAAACAACCTTAACAGATTAGCGAGCTGCATGGCCAAAACTAACAAAGTAAATTTCAACAAGGAGAAATGTAGGACACTTCACTTAGGCAGAAAAAATGAAATGTACAGAATGGGTGACGCCTGGCTTGGCAACAGTACACCTGAAAAAGATCTTGGAGTCAGGCCTGTAGCCCGGGGGGGGGGGGGGGGGGTGTTAGGGGTTCAACCCCCCCACAAAAATTTTCAGGTTAAAAAAAACCTGGTTTACACATGAATTTTAACTGGTTAACCAAATCCCCATGCTAAGTCTATGAGACACAAAAAATTAAGCGTCCCTCCAGAACTGCAAGCACTATCTCAAGCAAATATTGACAAATTATTCACACTGTCTTTACTTGCAGCAATAGCCGATGTAGCGAAGCAACCAAGTTGGGGGCGGGGTGTTGAATGCTCTCATTAAGGAGGCCAGACTTGGTGAAGGTGGTTGACAGGGGCGGAGCTGCAGGCTACTGAAGGCTGCTCTGCTCCTGCTGTGCTCTTTGCTTCAGCGTGAGCTAGGAAACAGGTTTCAACACACACACACACACCCCCGCAAAATTTTCAACCCCCCCCCCATTTTCAACCCCTCCCGAAATTTTTTTTCACTCTTACATTACTTCACTGTTATCCTGTCCCACCTAGAATCATAAAATCATAGAGTTAGAAGAGACCTCATAGGCCATCCAGTCCAACCCCATTCTGCCAAGAAGCAGAAAAATTGCATTCAAAGCACCCGCAACAGATGGCCATCCAGCCTCTGTTTAAAAGCCTCCAAAGAACGAGCCTTCACCACACTCTGGGGCAGAGAGTTCCACTGCTGAATGGTTCTCACAGTCAGGAAGTTCTTCCTAATGTTCAGATGGAATCTCCTTTCTTGTCGTTTGAAGCCAGCTGTGGGCAGTTCTTGCTCACTTATTTGAAAAGTCAGTTCATTTTAATTTCTCTGTTTGTGGCTCAAAGATCAGGATAGCATGTACTGTCTTTTAAGACAATCCCCTATTTTAAGACAATTCCCGTCCTAGTCTCCAGGGCAGCAGAAAACAAGCTTGCTCCCTCCTCCCTGTGACTTCCTCTCACATATTTATACATGGCTATCATGTCTCCTCTCAGCCTTCTCTCCTTCAGGCTAAACATGCCCAGCTCTTTAATAAAGATCCTGAACAGGACCGGGCGCAGGACAGAACCCTGCTGGTGGCACTCCGCTCATCACTCCTTTCCAGGATGAAGAGGAAGCATTGGTGAGAATCACCCTCTGGGTTTGTCCGTTTAACCTATTAGAGATCCAGTTAACCATAGTTTTGCCTAGCCCACGTTGGACTAGTTTGTTTGGCAGAACGTCATGGGGAGTCATGGGGGACCTTGTCGAAGGCCTTACTGAAGTCCAGGTACATTACATTACTTCACTCAAGTGCTATCGAGCCCCGGTGCAGTGGGTTAAACCCCTGTGCCGGCAGGACTGAAGATCGACAGGTCGCAGGTTCAAATCCGGGGAGAGGCGGATGAGCTCCCTCTATCAGCTTCAGCTCCTCATGCAGGGACATGAGAGAAGCCTCCCACAAGGATGATAAAACATCAAAATCAAGGCATCCCCTGGGCAACGTCCTTGCAGACGGCCAATTCTCTCACACCAGGAGTCACTCCTGACACAACAAAAAAACAAAAACAAAACTCAACGCGCTGCCTCGCACATGTGTTCCCATTTCTAATTCAGAGCTGCATTGTGCAACCAATGTAGCGCTACCAGCACTGGGTCCCAGCTATCATACTTTTGCCTGGAACTCATTGCCTCTGAGTCTGGTGGCACCTCCTTCCTTGGAGCCTTTTAAACAGAGGCTGGATGGTCATCTATCGAGGGTGCTTTGATTGTGCTCTTCCTTTGATTGTGCTTTGATTTTGCTCTTCCTGCATGGCATGAGCTTATTATTATTATTATTATTATTATTATTATTATGTGTTCCCTTTTCTAACTCAGAGCTGCATTGCGCAACCAAAGTAGCGCTACCAGCACTGGGTCCCAACTATCATACTTTTGCCTGGAACTCATTGCCTCCGAGTCTGGTGGCACCTCCTTCTTTGGAGCCATTTAAACAGAGGCTGGATGGTCATCTGTCGAGGGTGCTTTGATTGTGCTCTTCCTGCATGGAGAAGGCTGAGAGGAGATATGATAGCCATGTATAAATATGTGAGAGGAAGCCACAGGGAGGAGGGAGCAAGCTTGTTTTCTGCTTCCTCGGAGACTAGGACGCGGAACAATGGCTTCAAACTATAAGAGAGGAGATTCCGTCTGAACATTAGGAAGAACTTCTGACTGTGAGAGCCGTTCAGCAGTGGAACTCTCTGCCCAGTGTGGTGGAGGCTCCTTCTTTGGAAGCTTTTAAACAGAGGCTGGATGGCCATCTGTCAGGGGTGCTTTGAATGCAATATTCCTGCTTCTTGGCAGAATGGGGTTGGACTGGATGGCCCATGAGGTCTCTTCCAACTCTTTGATTCTATGATTCTCTGCTAAAGAGGGCTGGTGCCTCGGCAAACTACAACTCTCAGTGAAGGGGACAGATCCCAAAGTATTGAGCCATGGCAAAGTGGTATCAAACCGCATTAATCCTACAGTGTGGAGCCCCCCCTGAGCAAAGGCCAGAGCAGCTTACAATCTGGCGGAGGTGCTGTGCCCGGAGGGGCCCTTTGCGGCTCTCCAGCTCCCTCTCAGCCGCCTCCAGCCGCACTTTGAGCGCCTCCACGTCGATCTGCGGCCTCGCCGTCCACCCGTCCTTCGCGTGGTCGTAGAGGCGACTCTTCGCTCCAGCCGAGGCGGCGCGGCTCCATTTGGGGGCCCTCCGGAGCCACGAGCAACGCCCCCAACACACCGCTAGGCCGCGGCTCCCCAGGCCCCGGTAGAGCCCCACGGGCAGCGCCATTTTGGCCTCTCACGTGACTCGGCTGAGCCCGACCAATGGCAAAGCGTTCTTCCGCCAAGCTTCGTCCGCGAGCCAATCGGAACGAGGCTGGGCCCCGCCTCAGCTCGATTTGGTTGCCATGGGGATAGAGACACTCTCTGGCCTAGACGTGCTGGGACAGGACACATGGGACTGTTTGGAATATTCAAATGCAAATATAGTTATTATTATTCCTCTACTGAATATTCAGATACGAATTACTAATGTTTATGTCTGACGAATGCAAGGCTGGGGTTAAAATTGCTGGAAGAAACATTCACAGCCTTAGATATTGGGAGTGATCCTGGGCTCATCGCTGAGCCTGGAACCCCAGGTCTCGGCGGTGGCCGGGAGAGCTTTTGCACAATTAAAACTTTTGCACCAGTTGTGCCCGTACCTTGGGAAGTCGAATCTGGCCACAGTGGTCCATGCTCTTGTTACATCCTGAATAGACTACTGCAACGCACTCTACGTGGCGTTGCCCTTGAAGACTGTTCGGAAACTTCAACTGGTCCAGCGAGCGGCAGCCAGATTACTCACCGGAGCGTCATACAGGGAGCACACCATCCCCCTGCTGTGTCAGCTCCACTGGCTGCCACCCAGAGGAAAAGTGTTCTTGCCATACATCAAGGGAACCACTGACCGCATAGGGAAGCTGATGAGGAAACACAACATACAAACTATCTACAGACCCACCAAGAAAATCCAACAAATGCTACGTTCAGCAAAGGACAAGAGGGATCCTCTCACCTCTGCAGGAGTCTCCCGTATACCATGCAGCTGTGGACAAGTCTACATAGGGACCACCAAACGCAGCGCCCAACACGCATCAAGGAACATGAAAGGCACTGCAGACTACTTCAACCAGAGAAGTCAGCCATAGCAGAGCACCTGATGAACCACCTGGACACAGCATATTATTTGAGAACACAGAAATGCTGGACCACTTCAACAACCACCATGTCAGACTACACAGAGAAGCCATTGAAATCCACAAGCATGTGGACAATTTCAACAGAAAGGAAGAGACCATAAATGAACAAAATCTGGCTACCAGTATTAAAAAACTCTAAAATTACAACAGCAAAACAGCAGAGAGGAAACAACCAGGCACATCTTAACACCTCTCAACAAAAGATTTTCCCAGGCTCAACCAGGCCTTCAAATGCTAATGAAGGTGGTCAGCTGAAACATTCACACCTAGCTCCAGCAGAGAAGAGCTCTTTGCCCCACCCCAGCCATTCCACAGATATATAAACCCATTGTCCTAATTCCAACAGACCTCACTACCTCTGAGGATGCTTGCCATAGATGCAGGCGAAACGTAAGGAGAAAATGCCTCTAGAACATGGCCATATACTAATGTTTATGTCTGACGAATGCAAGGCTGGGGTTAAAATTGCTGGAAGAAACATTAACAACCTTAGATATTGGGAGTGATCCTGGACTCATCGCTGAGGCTGGAACCCCAGGTCTCGGCGGTGGCTGGGAAAGCTTTTGCACAATAAAAACTTGTGCACCAGTTGCGCCCGTACCTTGGGAGGTCAGATCTGGCCACAGTGGTCCACGCTCTTATTGCATCCTGAATAGACTACTGCAACGCACTCTACGTGGGGTTGCCCTTGAAGACTGTTCGGAAACTTCAACTGGTCCAGCGAGCGGCCAGCCAGATTACTCATCGGAGCGTCATACAGGGAGCACACCATCCCCCTGTTGTGTCAGCTCCACTGGCTGCCGATCCAATTCCGAGCACAATTCAAGTGCTGGTTTTGACCTACAAAACCCTATACGGTTCCGGCCCAGTGTATCTGTCCGAACGTATCTCCCTCTACGTCCCACCCCGGAGTTTGAGATCATCTGGGGGGGCCCTGCTCTCGACCCCACCGCTATTACAAGTGAGGTTGGTGGGGACGAGGAGCAGGGCCTTCTCAGTGGTGGCTCCTCACCTGTGGAACTCACTCCTGGGGGAAATTAGGTCATCAGCTTCCCTCCTCTCCTTCAGGAGGAAAGTAAAGACATGGTTGTGGGACCAGGCCTTTGGGCATTCTGACAACTAGATAAGGACAATCAGACGATTAGGACTGACAGGACTGACAAAGTGGAATTGGAAACCGGACTATGAGATGGCGAACGCTGACCGTTAATGAGGTGCAATTGGTTTTTAGTGGTTTTATCAGCTTTATTGGTTTTATTGTTATATGCAGAAACTGTTTCTTAACAGTTAATTGCTGCTAGATTGTTTTATACTACTGTTATGTGATGTCGGCATCGAATTGTGCCTTTGTAAGCCGCCCTGAGTCCCCTCCGGGGTGAGAAGGGCGGGGTAGAAGTAACCGAAATAAATAAATATGCAGATGATACCACTTTGATGGCCAACAGCTGAGGAGCCTTCTAACCAAGTTGAAAAAAGAAAGCGCAAAAGCTGGGTTTATTTACAATATTTTTCTATACCGCTTTTCTCTCCTCGAGGGGGACTCAAAGCGGGTTGCAGCTAAACATTAAAAAATAAGATTATGGCAACAAGACTGATTGACAACTGGGAAACAGGGAGAAAACGTGGAGGCCGTGACAGACTTTGTATTTCTAGGTGCAAAGATTACTGCAGACTGCAACCAGGAAATCAGGAGACGTTTCCTTCTTGGGAGGAGAGCAATGTCCAATCTCGATAAGATAGTGAAGAGTAGAGACATCACACTGGCAATGATGATCCGCATAGTTAAAACAATGGTATTCCCCATAATCACCTACAGATGTGAGAGCTGGACCATAGGGAAGGCTGAGCGAAGGAAGAGAGATGCTTTTGAACTGTGGTGCTGGAGGAAAGTTCTGAGAGTGCCTTGGATGGCGAGAAGATCCAACCAGTCCATCCTCCAGGAAATAAAGCCCGACTGCTCATTGGAGGGAAGAATAATAGAGGCCAAAATGAAGTACTTTGGCCACATCATGAGAAGAAAAGCTTAGAGAAGACAACGATGCTGGGGAAAATGGAAGGAAAAGGGAAGAGGGGCCGACCAAGGGCAAGGCGGATTGATGGATGGTATCCTTGAAGTGACTGACTTGACCTTGAAGGAGCTGGGAGTGGTGACGGCCGACAGGAAGCTCTGGCCTGGGCTGGTCCAGGAGGTCACGAAGTTCCAATGAATCATCTGAGCAATGGAGCCCCAGGTGGTGCAGTGGGTTAAACCCCTGTGCCGGCAGGACTGAAGACCGACAGGTCGCAGGTTCGAATCTGGAGAGAGGCGGATGGGCTCCCTCTATCAGCTCCAGCTCCTCATGCGGGGACATGAGAGAAGCCTCCCGGAAGGATGATAAAAACATCAAATCATCCAGGCGTCCCCTGGGCAATGTCCTTGCAGACGGCCAATTCTCTCATACCAGGAGTCACTCCTGACACGACAAAAAAAAAAATCTGAGCAACGGTGTTATGCCTCTGCTTGTAGTCTGTCTGTGCAATTTTCTTGCAGCAGCTGAGGATGTGATCTATTGTTCCATCTGCTTCCTTGCAGAGTCTACACTTGGGATCTGTCATCGACCTTTCAATTCTGGCTTTGATGGCATTGGTTCTAATGGCTTGTTTTTGGGCTGCCAGAATCAGGCCCTCCTTTGTCTCCTTTTTCAAAGTTCCATTTGTGAGCCACATCCATATTATTATTATTATTATTATTATTATTATTATTATTATTATTATATATTATATTTCCTCTACTGAATATTCAGACACAAATTACTAATGTTTATGTATGACAAATGCAAGGCTGGGGTTAAAAATGCTGGAAGAAACATTAACAGCCTTATATATGGATTACTGCAACGCACTCTATGTGGGGTTGCCTTTGAAGACTGCTCGGAAACTCCAACTAGTCCAGCGGGAGGCAGCCAGGTTGCTCACCGGAGTGGCATACAGGGAGCATACCACCCCCCTGTTGTGTCAGCTCCACTGGCTGCCGATCCAATTCTGAGCACAATTCAAAGTGCTGGTTCTGACCTACAAAACCCTATACGGTTCTGGCCCAGTGTATCTGTCCGAACGGATCCCCCTCTGCGTCCCACCTCGGAGTCTGAGATCTTCTGGGGAGGTCCTGCTCTCGACCCCGCCTCTATCGCAAGTGAGGCTGGCGGGGACGAGGAGCAGGGCCTTCTCGGTGGTGGCCCCTCACCTGTGGAACTCACTCCCTGGGGAGATTAGATCAGCGACTTCCCTTTTTTCATTTAGGAAAAAACTGAAGACCTGGATGTGGGACCAGGCATTTGGACATTCTGGCAGCTAAAGAAAGACCTGATGATGAGCAGGAATTGACGGAATGGAATGGATTTACGGAACTCTGAACACTGAGCATGGGATTAGTTTTCTATTGTGTTATGTACTGATGTTTTTAACCTGTTAATTGTTTAACTGCTTTATGTATGTATGTATATCTAACATAGGCATCGAATTGTGCCTTCTTTTGTAAGCCGCCCTGAGTCCCCCCTCAGGGGTGAGAAGGGCGGGGTAGAAGTAACTTAAATAAATAAATAAATAAATAATATGCAGTTGATACCACTTTGATGGCCGAAAGTGAGAAGGAACTGAGGAGTCTTCTAACCATGGTGAAAGAAGAAAAGGCAAAAGCTGGGCTGCAGGTAAGCATCACAAAAACCAAGATTCTGGCAACCGGATTTATCAATAACTCAAAGAAGGGTGGTGTCTCGCTAAACCACATCTCTCATGATTCTAAAGCATTGTCATGGTGGTTAAAGCGATGTCGAACTGCATTTATTCTACAGTGTAGATGCACCCTTATAGCAATGCATAAAATTTGGGGAATGAAGGAAACATTTAATGTATTCGGAAAAACAAAATTCAGCATGTACACTTCTGGGTGGCATCTATTACACGTAACACTTTACCCATTTTTATTAGAAACGTGGAGAAAAGTCTTATTTTTAGATATATATCTATTTAGACTATTTTATTGTCTTTCCAGAGTAATCTGCTACTTTAATAAGTGACTCTGAAGCC